GGCTCCACATATCGCCCCAAGATAGCCCGAGACGCCCCCCAAAGAGCCCGAAAACGATCCAAGAAAGTCCCAAGACAGCCCAAAAGGGCTCCAAGACGGGCCCAAGAGAGCCCCAAGAGCGCCCAAAAGGCACCCAAGAGGGCCCCAAGACGCCGCCAGGAGAGCCCCACGACGGCCAAAGGCCTCCAAGACGCCCCAAGACGGCCCAAAAGGGCCTGGAGACGACCCAAAAGAATCCAAGCAGAGCCTTCAAGGGGATCCAAAAGGGCCCCAAAAAGACCCCCAAGAGGCCCCAACACGCTACATAACACCAAGGCTCCCAACACTGAGCTTCAATGGCACCCTGGAAGCCTTCCAAAATGTTTTTCCTTCATCCTTTTTCCCCCCGTTTCCCTCATCTTTCCCGTTACCCTCCTGTTCCTCCTCCCTATCTAGGCCGTCTGGAGGGCATCTTGGGCGCCGTGGACTGGTCTTCGAGCGTTTGGGGCCCGTCTTGGACCGTGTTGGGGGCCTCTTGGCGCCCCCTTGGGGCGATCCTGGGGGCCCTGGGGGGGGTGTCTCGGGCAGCTCTCGGGCAACTCTCGGACAGCTCTCGGGCCGCGCCCGGGGTACTGTTGGTCCGGGAACCCCCGGGGGCTGCCCCGCGCGCGCGGACCTAAAAATACGGCGCAACAGCCACCGGAGATCTCAGCACGCCTATGTCCCGTTGGGCCGGATGCCATGGTTGAATTTTCAATATAAAAAGGCGGCTTTGCTTTCTGGACATGCGTATCGCCGTGTACACTCACCTCTTGTTTCTTGCATGAGGTGTTGGCTGAGACCTCAAAACGACACATGCATTTGCGTTCATCACATGCCCAGACTCACGCATACGGATTCCGTTTTCACAATCCGATCATTTGCGTTTTCCACTACATTCCTTGATTTGCACTCAGCGGCACACCCAACGATAATATATATATATATATATGTATGTATGTATATATATATATATATATATATATATATACATACATACATACATACATACATACATACGTACAATTGCCTGCGGCAACTCCCGCCGGCGTGCCAGCCCCGCATTATCGGCAGTAGTTGTTCGAACCGATGATGTGGAGGATGGTGATAAATGATGTTTACGCCGACGATGACGACAGTTGGATGATGACGATGATGGCGATGACGATGGCGAGGATCGGACGAGGATGGATAGTGTGGCGCACGAGAGCCATTTGCATTAGCATGGTGAATATAACCGTGCTCATTATGGCGATGGTGGCAGTAATGATGACGATGACGATATGACGACGACGCTGCTGCTAATGAGGTTAATGTGTACAGGATGTGGGTGATTATGCTGAGGATGATGGTGATGATGCTGACGATGACGACGATGTTGATGAAAATGGTGCTGCTGATGATGAACGTGGTGACGATGATGACGATGGTGGTGGTGGTGGTGATAACGATGCGGATGCTGGCGATGACGATGACGAGGCTGATGAGAATGAGGCGGGGGAGGATGAGGATGATGATGAGGAAGAGAAAACAGACGAGGATGATGATGAGGGCGGGACCGAGGAAAACGCCGCGAACCGCGGTGAACATGATGATGAAATGGAGGGAGCGGAGGAGCCCTGATAAACCTCATTTGGGCCATCTTCGGGGTGTCCCGGGCCCCTGTGGGGCAGTCCTGCGGGTCCCTTGGGGGCCTATTGGGCCTTCGTCGGGCTCTCCGGCGGCCGTATTGAGGCTCTCTCGGGGCCCTCGTGGCCGTCTGGGGGGGGTCGGTTGGGGCCGTCGCGGGGTGGTCTTGGGCCGTCCAGCGGCCCTTTTAATCCATGCGGGGTCGACCCGCGACAATCCATGATTTCTGTTTCCTGGGGCCCTCTTCAGACGCTTCTTGGAGGCGCCTCGGAAGCGCATGCGGCTGTTTGGCGGCCATATTGGGCGTTTGGGACCGATCGGACGGCGACTGGACCGATGGATCGGCGACTCGGAACCCTTTTGGACCATCCTGGAGGCCCGCGGGGCCACCTAAGAGCGCCTAACGGCACCTGGGTTGGGTGTCCCAGGGCCGCCTCGGGGCACTTCTCGGCCCGGGGCCCCCAGGGGCCGCTCCGCGCGGGCGAACTAGAATACTGTTACCAGGTATTGGAGATCTTCGCAAATCTCTGGCCCGTTGGACCCGCGAATTCCGACTTCGCCTTCCGTCGCTCGTTCGGAGCCTCAGTGGCATCGACCGGGCAACGCGATTGCGGCGGCGCTCGCGATGGCAGCGGTCTCCCCCTCTCATTCTCCCTTTCGTACGTCGTCGCTTTTGTCCTCGTCGTCGTCGTCTGCGTCGCTTTCGTCGTCGTCGTCAGCGTCGTAGCCGGCGTCGTAATCATCGTCATTTTCATCGTCATCGTCGTCGTCATCGTGGACGTCGTCGTCGTCGTCCTCGTCGCCCCCGTCTCGACCGGCCCGCCGGCTCGGCCGGCCCGCCGGTTCAGCTCGGCTCGGCTCGGGTTGGCGGCGACGGAGCGGGAAAGGAAGGATGAGGGAAGGAAAGGATAGGAGATGGAAGACAATGTCAGATCAACAACGGCGAAAACGGCAACAAGGCGCTATCGCTTACTTCAACTATGTACATATCTGTCTTCCCGCCTGCTGGCTCAACTTGAAGGACCATGGTAGTCTGGTCACGTTCGCCTGAGACCCTCGAACCTTGGAGTTGCAAGATGCCTGGAGCAGCTGGTCAGGCCACTACCGCCTGAGATACGCATGTGTATGCGCACACATAGTTACACATACCAGTGGCATATACATGTACATACCCATACATACGTATATTTTAATGCACATGTGTAGTATGTTTCCATAGGCGCATGTGCGCGCGCATGTACGCACGCACGCACTCCGCGAAGGCGCGAAATTATACAGGACCAAGGTGCATGGCGCGCAGCGCCAATGCAGTCTTGTCTATATATTTATATATACACATACGTATGTAGATATATCTACATATAAACATATATATATATATATACCCCGACCCTCCGCTTTTCTTCGGCGCAGCCAGAGCGCTGTGTTCAAAGGAAGATGGCCCGCCCGAGATACCCAGAAGCTTTGAAAAACCCCCCACACACCAACACCGGCCCACACTGGCCCACGCCAGCCCACCAGCCAGAGCTCGCCGAATACCCCCCACCCGCACTGGCTCACCAGGAAGCCCCGGCAGCCAGCAGGGTGGAGGTTTCAGCGAGCCCCGAGTGCTAGGAACTTCTGAGGGTAGTCTGGGGGGGACCATGACTCAGACTCTGAAGCAACAGGCATGCACGCACGACCATGCGCTATGACGAGCTTTGAGACTGTATAGGCATGCACGCAAAGAATGCGCTATGACGAATACGCCAGGCAGAGACACGGGAGGTGGCCCAAGCAAACTATGGATGACCCCCTCGGGGTCGGCTGCGCCGAACGTTTCACGGGAGATTCTCAGTAAAAGCTACTCGGGGAGATGCCATATACCCCGACCCTCCGCTCTTCTTCGGCGCAGCCAGAGCGCTGTGTTCAAAGGAAGATGGCCCGCCCGAGTTACCCAGAAGCTTTGAAAAACCCCCCACACACCAACACCGGCCCACACTGGCCCACGCCAGCCCACCAGCCAGAGCTCGCCGAATACCCCCCACCCGCACTGGCTCACCAGGAAGCCCCGGCAGCCAGCAGGGTGGAGGTTTCAGCGAGCTCCGAGTGCTAGGAACTTCTGAGGGCACTCTGGGGGCGACCAAGACTCTTCCATGACCCCATACCCTGCACAGACTGCGTTGCAGGATGGGCGTTCCCCCCCTTTCTATGCATGCCCCGCCTGGCGCCTCTCCTGAAACTGACTAATCAGAAGGGAGAGGAATAGGATGAGGTCTGAAAGGAGGGGGTCGGAGGAGAGGGAAGCACCCTTTCCGACATGGGAGGCGAGCGCGCGGGCATCCGCAAGCTGCAGGTCTGACAGCTGCAGCTCGGCCAGCGCGGCCACCGCGCCCTGCACGTAAACTCGCGCAGACCGCGCGCTCGCCCACCTCCCTCTCAGCAGGGTCAGCTCGAGACTGCCATGCTCCAAAAAGTCATGCGCGGCGCCTCCGCGCCGAAACGAATACAAGGTCACCCTCTCGTCTGTGAGGCCCAGCGCAACCACCACGCGCCTGAAGAGTTGCATGAACTCACCCCTCTCGATGTTCAGGATGAGCTCGTCGGGCGGTAGCTCTTGCACATGCTGCGCCAGCAGCCTCACCGCGACCCTGGAGCGGACCATGACCAGCTCAAGCCTGCCGTCGCGTTGCCCCGTCTTAGTGTTGCGGAGCGCCGCGATCGCTGACATCCGCCGCCGAAAGATGCGAATGTCCCTCCGCCTCAGTTGCAGCATCTCACCACTGCGCAGCATCCCTGCGTAGCCGACGGCGAGCAGGGCGCCCACCCGCGGCAAGCCCAACCAGCAGAAGGCTCCTGCAGAGACGAGGGGGAGCCGCGGCGGCATCGGCATGGCACGGGCGTTGGGCTCCAGCTTAAGCCAAGTCTTCTGGAGCTTCCAACTCTGCTTCAGCTTGCCCGACAGCCACGGGCTGAAAAATGGCACAGCAGCGAGCGCATTGTTCACGGCAAGTAGTGAGCCGCCTGTGCGCCATACGTGCTCGATGTACAGGGCAACGCCTTGGTCAACATCCCGCGCGGTCTTTGGGCGCAGCTGCTGCTCGTTGAAAAAATATCGCAAGTGTTGTCGCGCCTGTTCGCAGCGCTGTCGGGTGACTGCAGCAACTCGTCCATCCTGAAGCGGCCTGCTACGCCTGAGCCGCTTGGCGTCCACGGCCCGCTTGAGCCGCGCTGCCGCGACCTGCGCGCCGACGCCCCCGGCAGCCCATGTCAAACCTGCGCGACGGCACATCCGCTGGGTTGTCGTCCGCGTCGACATACGCGTACAGCGGGTAGCAGCCACAGGCGACGAGGTACGACGCGTGCGCCCGCATCTAGCCCCAGAGTCTCCTGGCGCTGGACCGCCCCTTGGCGAGCGCGCTGGCCGCCACCTGCGAGTCGAGGAGGTGGAGGTAGCGGGTCCCGAACCGAGCCGTCGTTCGGGCACGCCACTTGACCGCATTCACAGCCGCGCCCACCTCCAGCTCGTTGATGTGCGCCTCCTGCTTCCGCTGGAAGCCGTGCCCAATGGACCGCGTCCACAGGTTGGACTGCAGCCCGGAGCGCGGCCAGGCCTTGGCACGAAAGGGGGCCTGCAGGTCTAGCCTGACGTCTGCACCTCCTCTGCTGGCGATCCGCAGGTACTTGAACACCAGCCGCCTCTCGAGGTCAGGATCGCTCACCTCGGCGCCCCCAAACTCGGGCTCCTGGCCCCGCGAAGGCGGCGCCGCCCCCGCGTGGAGCAGCGGCGCGATGTCGGGGGCCGCACGGCCAGCCACTCGAGCCAAGAGCTGCGCAAACAAGTACGACACGACCTGCACGGAGAACGAGTTCCCGATGAGCGACGACCTGAAGATTTCTGCCTCAACTCCAGGCAAAGAGTCCTTCACAGCAGCGCGTGTGCATCCTCGATCAAAGCCCATCAGCGTCTCACGCTCACCAGCTGAGGGGATACGCCACTTGTCCCTGGCCGCGTTCCAGAGAAGGTTCTGATCCTCAAAATTGCACACCTGCGTCACATAGCTGGAGGCTGTCCATCGTTCAATCGCGATGTCGCTGCCGTCTTGATCCCCGCGACCGGAGCTGGGGGGAGCTCCTCTTGTACAGCTGAGCGAAGGTCGGCAGCACGTGACTAGGGTCAAGCAGGCTCCAGCCGTCCTCAGCCCAGGCTGGGGCGGCCTCAGCAGCGACATGGAGCTTCACCTTGTAGTAGAACTCAGCCTCCTGGATCTCGATCACATCGTCGCGGGCCTGCAGCTGCCAGGAGAGCCAGTACAGGCGCGGCCTACGCACCGCACCCGCATCCATGGCCTCGATGCGGTACGGCTTGACGCCCAGCACCTCGGTGACCATCGCAATGTCGTCCTGCGGCATGCCCGCCACGTTCTCGACGAACCGTTTGGTGCGCCGCTTGCCGAAGACCCGCTCGATGGTACTGAAGGCCTTGGGCAGCTCGAAGAACAGCTTGCTTTTCGCACCAGCGATCCCCTTGCCAGCTGCATTGAGCCCGCTCACGTGAATACACGGTGAGCCACCACCTGCAATCGCGCAGCTCGCCACCTCAGCTGCAGAGCGGGCGACCTTCTCCAACGATTCTGGGGCGAGCTTGGTGATGTCTCCAGCTCGATCACCCCTGGCCATCGCTGCCTGACGCACCTCTTTGCCACATTGTCTATCTCCGAGGAAGCGTGCATGACGACCCTGCAGGGGCGCCGCGACAAGGCCACCATCGCCGCGCCGATCCCACCGAAGAAGTCGAAGAGCGCCACTGTCGGCAAGGGCACCCCTCGAGGCAGCAGCTCCGGCGGCACCACTGATGACATAGCGCCCCGAGACAGGAAGGCGAGCCCCTCCTCACCAGGGTCGGCGCCCGCCACCTCCGCTCCATGCTTGGTGAGGCCCGTCGAGTAGCACAGCCCGCCGCCTTCCTCGCTGGCGTCGGTGGCGAGGACGACGGGGTCGAAGGTCGCGCGGATGCTGGTGAACGCCATCGGCAGCAGGCACAGGGCGGCCAGCAGCTCGGTGCGCGCCCCCTCGGGCAGGCGGACGTCCTGCTGCAGGGCGCCCCCCCCCCTGCTCTGAGGCGCTTCGCAGCTCGGGGATGACCCGTGCCTCGTTGAGCGTCGCGAAGAGCGGCCTGCGAAACTCAAACGCTCGGGCCAGCCGCCCAAGCACCATGAGGCAGGCCTTGGCGGTCACCTTCTCCTTGCCAGCAAGCAGCCACATGATCATCTGCCCAATTCCCATCAGGTTGTCAATCGTGACCCCCACGCGGCCGGCGTCCCCGTCCACGAGGGCGCCCATCCTGACGAGACGACGCTGGCGACACACCGCCTTCTTGTCCGACCAGGGGACGCGGGCAGAGGAGTACGCCCTCCGCTGGCGCTCCTGAAAGTCGCTGATGGTCCCCTCGATGAGGGTGGCGACGCTCTCGGGCACGATCTCGGGGGAATCGAAGTCGTCCAGGTAGTGCTGCACCCGCGCCTGGGCCTTGGCTTGAGGCACAAGCGGCAGCGGGCGGTCACGCCGCCGCTCCACCTTCTTGTCGAACCCCGCGCTGCGAGGCCCATCACCGATGCCTAGCCGTCGATGCAGGTGCTGGAACAGGCTCACAGCAGACAGCCAGCCCATCGGGGTCACCGCGACCGCCATCTTGACCCACTTGAGCTGCGGCCGCCCCTCCAGCGACCCAGGCACCGGCTTGCGCAACGCCGTGTACCCCCGCCAGGCCCTCGGTAGCGCGTGCAGATGAAACGCCCCCGACTGGTCGTCCGACGACCACAACAAGGCCTGGCCATCAGGCACGACGATGGACGCCCACGTCGAGCTGGGGGTCAGCGTGTCCAGGTCGGTCTCAGCAATCCGCTGGTAGGCATTCTGCGGCACCATGTTGATGATGAGCCTGGTGACCCTTGTGAAGGGCGGCGTCGGGGCCCCCGACTTCGCAACTGCAAAGGCCCCCGCAAACACCTGCTTCCCCCCGACCTGGCAGATCCCCCGGTCCTCGACAGGCTCGAAGATGCCTGCCTCGATCAAGTGCTTGCACAGGGCGTACCACTCATCGTCGCTGGCCACTTGCACGCTGGCCTTCGGGACCTCCTCTGGCCATTTGTCCTGAGGCTTGAGGAGCCGCGTGGGGTCCAACAACGACTCCTGCACATGCGGAGCCGCGAGATCCAAGGCCTGCACGGAACCAGCCAACCCCGGCTTGGGCAGCCCTGGTAGTAGCTCGCCCATCACCAGTGGCCCCCGCGCTCAACCTCCTGCCCGCTGTAGCCGATCCCCTTCGTCTTGATCAGCTTGTCGATGTCCAGGTCGCTCAGCGGCTCCAGCGCGTCCTTCGCGAAGTAGGCGGCCGCGCAGCTGATATTGACAAGCGCCACTTGCTGCACCTGAGACGCGATCTGAGGCCAGGCCCGAGGCGCGCCTGCCGCGCGCCCCTCAGCTTCAAAGTTGAGCCCCGCAATGATGGCCCACTCGATGGCATCATGGCAGCCCTTGTCCACGAGAGCCCCCCGGTCACGAAGCGGTTCTCCGCGCTTGAGGAGGGCCTCCGTCGCTAGGGGTGAGCTCTGCACTGGCAGAGGCAGCGGGGGGAGGTCACGACGACGCGCTGCCCGCGGATCTGGCTGCGCCGAACCCACGCGACGGAGGTGCGACCCGAATGCGCCTGGGTCTGCACGGCACGCGTTGACAACGCTAAGCGCGTACTCCAGCTTCGTGACGTGGCACCTGGTCAACTCTTGGACTTGGCGCGCTGCAAGATGGTCATCAGCCGCGCCTTGTACGCACTCTTTGTCTCCTGGGGCCCTCGGGCGTTCGCTGCCCTCAGCTCCTTGAACGTGGGAATCTGGGGGGTGCCCTCGCCCAGCCGCACCTCTCTCGACTGGCTGCCCGTCGCGCCCGCTGCTGCGCGAGAGGTCGACGGGCTGCGGCTGACGCCCTTCGCTCTGAGGCTCGCCGGAGAACGCCCGTTGCCCACGGCAGCCGCTAGCACCTTTCTGACTGGACTGGGCCCCGCCTCGCGACCGCTCGTCGCAATCATGCTCAGGGACGCCGGACTCCCTCCAACAACAGTGCGGGGCGAGGGAGCCCGCAGGTGGCCTGCAGGAGGAGACGCCCGCCCCGGCGACTCCTCCCGGCCGAGCCCAAAGAAACGCGGCTTATTGGCGAGCAGCTTCTCGCGGAGCTCCTCGCACTTCAACTTCGCGTGGGCCACCCGACGCGCTGCCGCCTCCTCGTCGCGAGAGGCAGCGCTGGGCTGAGCGTCGGTAGGGATGAGGGCCATCCACTTCGCCGTGTACCAGTCGCCGTCCTTGATCGCCGTGGTGCGGGCCTTTGAACTCCTGCATCGCGACATCGAGCGCCTTGACCGTGGACCCCAACAAGCCCAAGTCGAGAATGGTCGCGAGGGTACGCAGCAGCCTCACCTCGCGCGCCCCGAGACTCTTCGGCGGGTGCTCGATGAAGAACACCGTGTCCAGGAAGGCCCGGCAGCAGGCATCCCTTCCAGCTGGCGCATGGCCTCGCCGAGAGCGTCGATGCCTCCACCTGCGCTGCCACGGCCACGGCCCCTCGACCTCCGAGGCGGCGCCTCGCGCCAAGCGGGTGACGCGCGGCCGCGGGGCTCGCCGCGCGCCTCTGCCCCCGCGCGCGCACCGGCCCGCCCACCCTCGCGCGGCTGGCCAGCAACGTCGGGCCTCCCGCCAGCGAGGGGGGCGCGCGCCTTCCGAGGGGCAGGGACCAAGGCGTCGCCACGGGCCCCCTCGCCGGGAGCCGGGCGCCGCCGCGGCTCTGGCTGAGGGAGCGCGGCCCGAGGCGGCTCCTGCCGAGGCGGCGAGCGCGGGCCCTCCTCGAAGGCACGCCAAGCTCCTGCGAGCTCCTCGGGCCCTGGCTCGAGGTGCTCGCCGTCGTCCTCGTCCTCGTCGCCCATGCCCTCGGGCTCGGGCACAGCAGCCCCCTCGCCTCGATCGCCTTCTGCACCTCCATCGGCGCGCTGAGCCATCGCGAGGCGAGCCCGCTCGAGGGCCCCGTCGCTGCCCCACTGCACGCAGAGAGCGCTCGCCTCGTCCTCGGTCACCTCGCGCGCCAAGTTGACGTGCTCGAGCGGGTACCCGTCCTGTCCGACAACGCGGCACTCCCGCGCTGCCACGGCGCAGATGTGCAGCAGCGTGTTGGCCCCCCGAGCACTCGCCTCGCCGACCGCCGAGGCGTACCACTCGAAGCATGCGTCCGACGCGGCGATATGCTGAACTTCCACCAGCACTCCGCCGCCCGTGGGCCGCCAGGCGCGCCCGTTGCAGACGAGCTCGGACCCCTGGCTGGCCCATGAGTCGTCGAGCACGCCCACCTGCAGCAGCGTGCCCGGCCGCAGCGCCACCCGCTCCAGGGCGTCGGAGTCGGGCTCCAAGTTGATCCAGAGCCCGGCCATCTCAGGCACCGCCGCCGCCAGGCACCATGGCTCGCAGGCTGTCCCTCCACGGGAGAGCCCACGGCGGCGGCGGCCGGCCGCGGCCCGCTGCGCAGCCCACTGGGCGCGCTGGCGAACCCCAGCGCGCCCTCAGAGCCAAGCAAACTATGGATGACCCCCTTGGGGTCGGCTGCGCAGAACATTTCACGGGAGATTCTCAGTATAAGCTACTCGGGGAGATGCCATCTGCATATATATATATATATGTATATATATATGTATATATATATATAAATATAAATATATCGCGAAGCAATGGATTCGCACGGGTTTCACGAGCACGTTTACCAGAACATGCTGGCCAGACTGCAACAGGTCGAACGGCTGACTAAGAACATGAACATTCTGCAAGTGAGGACTCCAGTGGCAACACCTGCTTGAGGCACCGCCGGGGACGGACACTGTGTAGAGTGTGGAAAGTCGGACCAGCTCTCTGGTCGACCCTCTTGGGCGCGCCCTGGGGCTCTCTTGGGCCGTTTGGGGGGGGGCCATTGGGGAGCTGTTTCGGGGCTTTTTGTATTGCTTCCTGTCTCTTGGGGGCCTCTTGGGGCTTCTTGGGCGCTTCTTGGAGCCTCTTGGGGTCTCCTGGGGGCCTCTTGGTCCAAAACGCTCGAATATTCGGTTCCCCGTCTTGGGCGCCGACTCGGGGCGTTCTTGGGCGGTTTGGGCGCCTGGGGGGCCGTCCTGGCCCCCTCGTGGGCCGTCCTGGAGCCCTCTTGGGGGCATCCTCAACCGGCTTGGGTGCTTCTTGGGCCGTCTTGGACGCACTGGAAGCCCAAAAGGCGAACACGCTAAAAATATAAAGTTTCCCATAGGCATTCGACGATTGTTGCTTGTTGGGGCTCTATTGGAATGCCCCCCTGGGGCGTGTTCGGGGACTCTTTTTGTGTTATTGCGGGTCTCTTGGGGACCTCTTGGGCTTCTTGGACGCTTCTTGAAGCCTCTTGGGGTCTTCTAGGGGCCTCTCGGGCCAAAGTGGCTCGCATTTTCTGTTCCTCGTTCCCGTCTTGGGCGCCGACTCGGGGCGTTGTTGGGCGGTTTAGGCGTATCGTGGGCCGTCTTGGCCCCCTCGTGGGCCGTCTTGGAGCAGCCTCGTGGGGCCTCTGGGGGGCCTCTTGGGACCTCCTGGGGACCTCTTGGGGCCTCCTGGGAGCCTCTGGTGCCGAAAGCTCGGACTTTGAATATGATGGTTGTGCATTTCTGGGACCCCTCTGGGGCTCGTCCTGGGGCTCTCTTGGGCTGTCTTGGGGGCTTCTCGGGCCGTCTTGGGACCCAGTTGGGGTCGACTTGGAGCCCTCTTGGGAGCCCGTGGGACAGTCTTGGGGGCCCCTTCGGCCGTCTTGGACGCAGTGGAAGCCCAAAAGGCGAACGCGGCAAAAATATCAGTTTTGTCATGGGCATTCGGCGATTGTTGCTTATTGGGGCTCTATTGGAGTGCCCCTTGGCGCGTGTTCGGGGACTCTTTTTGTATTTTTGCTGGTCTCTTGGGGAACTATTGGGGCTTCTTGGACGCTTCTCGGAGCCTCTTGGGGTCTCCTGGTGGCCTCTTGGGCCAAATGGCTCGCATGTTCGGTTCCTCGTCCCCGTCTTGGGCGCCGACTTGGGGCGTTGTTGAGCGGTTTAGGCGTCTCGCGGGCCGCCTTGATCCCATCGTGGGCCGTCTTGGAGCGGCCTCGTGGGGGCCTCTGGGGGGCCTCTGGGGGCCTCCTGGGGACCTCTTGGGGCCTCCTGGGAGCCTCCGGGGCCGAAAGCTCGGACTTTGAATATGATGGTTGTGCATTTCTGGGACCCCTCTGGGGCTCGTCCTGGGGCTCTCTTGGGCTGTCTTGGGGGCTTCTCGGGCCGTCTTGGGACCCAGTTGGGGTCGACTTGGAGCCCTCTTGGGAGCCCGTGGGACAGTCTTGGGGGCCCCTTCGGCCGTCTTGGACGCAGTGGAAGCCCAAAAGGCGAACGCGGCAAAAATATCAGTTTTGTCATGGGCATTCGGCGATTGTTGCTTATTGGGGCTCTATTGGAGTGCCCCTTGGCGCGTGTTCGGGGACTCTTTTTGTATTTTTGCTGGTCTCTTGGGGAACTATTGGGGCTTCTTGGACGCTTCTCGGAGCCTCTTGGGGTCTCCTGGTGGCCTCTTGGGCCAAATGGCTCGCATGTTCGGTTCCTCGTCCCCGTCTTGGGCGCCGACTTGGGGCGTTGTTGAGCGGTTTAGGCGTCTCGCGGGCCGCCTTGATCCCATCGTGGGCCGTCTTGGAGCGGCCTCGTGGGGGCCTCTGGGGGGCCTCTTGGGGCCTCCTGGGGACCTCTTGGGGCCTCCTGGGAGCCTCCGGGGCCGAAAGCTCGGACTTTGAATATGATGGTTGTGCATTTCTGGGACCCCTCTGGGGCTCGTCCTGGGGCTCTCTTGGGCTGTCTTGGGGGCTTCTCGGGCCGTCTTGGGACCCAGTTGGGGTCGACTTGGAGCCCTCTTGGGAGCCCGTGGGACAGTCTTGGGGGCCCCTTCGGCCGTCTTGAACGCAGTGGAAGCCCAAAAGGCGAACACGCCAAACATACAAATTCTCCCATCGGAAATCGGCGATTGTTGCTTATTGGGGCTCTATTGGAGTGCCCCTTGGGGCGTGTTCGGGGACTCTTTTTGTATTTTTGCTGGTCTCTTGGGGAACTGTTGGGGCTTCTTGGGCGCTTCTTGGAGCCTCTTGGGGTCTCCTGGTGGCCTCTTGGGCCAAATGGCTCGCATGTTCGGTTCCTCGTCCCCGTCTTGGGCGCCGACTTGGGGCGTTGTTGAGCGGTTAAGGCGTCTCGCGGGCCGCCTTGATCCCATCGTGGGCCGTCTTGGAGCGGCCTCGTGGGGGCCTCTGGGGGGCCTCTTGGGGCCTGCTGGGGACCTCTTGGGGCCTCCTGGGAGCCTCTGGTGCCGAAAGCTCGGACTTTGAATATGGTTGTGCATTTCTGGGACCCCTCTGGGGCTCGTCCTGGGGCTCTCTTGGGCTGTCTTGGGGGCTTCTCGGGCCGTCTTGGGACCCAGTTGGGGTCGACTTGGAGCCCTCTTGGGAGCCCGTGGGGCAGTCTTGGGAGCCTCTTGGGCCGTCTTGGACGCAATGGAAGCCCAAAAGGCGAACACGCCAAACATATAAGTTTTCCCATCGGAAATCGACGATGGTTGCTTATTGGGGCTCTCTCGGGGTCACCTTGAAAGGCGTCTGGGGCCATCGCTGCGGCCTCCAGGGGCCTCCCTGCAGCCTCGTGGGGCCCTGTTGGCCCCGGGTCGCCGAAACCCTGTACTCCCATGCCCCGTCGAAGTCGCGGTCCCGGGCCCCCGGGCCTATACATATATCTATATATATATATATATATGTGACCACGCACACACACACACACATCTATATATATATATATATATATGTATATATATATATGTGTATACACATACATACATATAAATATGGGCACATGTACATACGTACGCCTGTGCATACGCGTGTGTTCGCATATGTACACATATATATATATATATATATATATATATATATATATATATGTATCCCGCCGTGCCTGTCAGTGACCCCCTCCCTGTGTGGATGTATGTATGCATGTGTGTATGCATGCATGTATGTATGCATGTATAGTTGTATGTATGCATGTGTGTATGTGTATAAGTGTGTATGTATGTGTGTGTATGTGTATGTGTATGTGTATGTGTATGTGTATGTGTATGTGTATGTGTATGTGTATGTGTATGTGTAGGTGTAGGTGTAGGTGTAGGTGTAGGTGTAGGTGTATGTATAGGTGTATGTATAGGTGTATGTGTATGTGTATGTGTATGTGTATGTGTATGTGCATGTGCATGTGCATGTGCATGTGTATGTGTATGTGTATGTGTATGTGTATGTGTATGTGTATCTATGTGCACGTATAGCATACTCACTCAGACTCACCCACAGCATACTCATTCACAACAGACCCACTCACAGCATACTCAGTCACATCAGACCACTCCAAAAAAAGGCCCCCAAAAATGCACATATTCGTGTTTTTTTGGTGAGGGTGGTAGGCGCGTCTCCCGTGATGATGTTTACCGAATGCGATACATGAGTAGAGTGATGGCGTGAACGCCGCGCACCCCCTGTGAAGAGTCCCATTCAGTGCTCCTGGAGAAAATACGGCGTGGGCTAAGCTGCATCAGAGAAATACAGACCATAACACAGCACCCACCTCACATCACAGCACGACCACATCACAGTACCCACATCACATCACAGAAAAGACACACATCACGAACCTACAGGACCACCCACACAGCACACTCACATCACAGTTCACATACCCACCAAGAGGGGGGGTCACTGGGAGGCACGTAGGGATATATATATATATATATATATATATGTATGAAGTCGCAGCGCCATGCACCTTGGTCCTTTGAGTTCTGCACGCAAGCGGAATGCGTGCGTGCGTACATGCGCGCATGCATGTATACACGCGCACGTGCATGCACGTTCCGTATGAATGTCTAGGTGTATACAATATACTTACATTGGTGTATGTGTGTATACAGCGTACATATGTACATATAAAGTTATGTGTGTAAGGGTATGAACATGCATATGCAACTTGTACGGGGCATCCTCGGGCATCTTCGCTGCATGCCACAAGACCCTCAACGATTGGGTCACAATGTGAGATGTCATGGGAGCAAAATCAATGAATGTTGGCATTCGGAGACATCGTGGGGGTGTTTTCGGGGCCCTCGTGGGCCGTTTTGGCGCCTTCATGGACTGTCCTGGGACCTTCTTGGGCCGTCTTGGGGAGCTTGGGCCCGCTGGAGCCCCCTTTGGACCCATGCCCTTTTGGGTCTGTGCTGGGAGCCCTTGGGGGGCCTCTTGGTTCCATTATGGGCTGTCTTGGGGCTCTCGTGGTCGATCGTGGGGCCTGGCTCGGCCGTCTCGAAGCTTTCTAGGGGGCCTTTTGGAGCGTCTTGAAGTGATCTCGGGTGCTTTGAAACCGTTTTGAAAGCTGGTGAAATCCGAAAGGCGAATATGCTAAAATGGTAAGTTTTACGAGGGGAATGGGACGATTTTTGTGGTTTGACGGCCCCTTTTGGAAGATTTTTGGGGTGTCTTGGCGTCTTTATGTTGGCAATCGGAAGCATCGAAGGGGTGTTTTCGGGGCCCTCGTGGGCCGTTTTGGCGCCTTCATGGGCCGTCCTGGGGCGTTCTTGGGCCGTCTTGGGGAGCTTGGGCCCGCTGGAGCCCCATTTGGACCCATCTTGGGCACTTCCGGGGACCTCCCATGGCCTTTTTGGGTATGTGCTGGGAGCCCTTGAGGGGCCTCTTGGTTCCATTATGGGCTGTCTTGGGGCTCTCGTGGGCGATCGTGGGGCCCGGCTCGGCCGTTTTGTAGCTTTCTTGGGAGCCTTTTGGGGCGTCTGGAGGCGATCTCGGGGGCTTTGAAACCGTCTTGAAAGCTGATGAAATCCGAAAGGCGAATATGCTATAATTGTAAGACTTACGAAGGGAATGGGACGATGTTTGTGCTTTGAAGGCCCCTTGGAAAGCTTTTGGGGTGCCTTGGGGGTCTTTTGGGCCGTCTTGACGCAATTGGAGTCCCTCTTGGAGCGCTCTTGTGCTGTCTGGGGCCTCCCATTGAGCCTTTCTGATGACCCCTCGGATCGCTCTGGGTCTGCTGGCAAGGCGTTTGTGGAGACCCGGAAAGCAAGGTGTCGTGCCGAATGTTGCGCTGGTTTCTGACACCGCGGGGATCGTTCAACCTTGCACGATCGGCGGCTTCTCGATCGCCGGATCATTCCGTATCGGCCGATTCTGGGCCACGGGCGTTCAACCCTACACGCCCGCGTTGGTGTCGCCGTCGGTCGACACGACGCGAGCCTGCCGCACTGCGCATCGCCCTCGCACCGACGGCCTCCAAGCAGGCCGGTGCAGACACGCGGCGGTGCGCGCGCGCGCACGGGGCGCCCAGAGGCTGCAGTCGCAGGTGAAGCAGAAGCACCGGGCGCCGCCCTGGCTCCGCCTGGCCCCGGCGCGCTTGGGGCGGCACGGGCGGGAGACGGCAACGACGGCGACGACTACGACGACGACGAGGACGACGACGACGACGTCGACGACGGCGACGGCGACGGCAACTGCGACGGCGACGACGGCCTCACGTCCTTTCTCCTCCACATCGCCTCTTCCGTTTACTCGTCTTCTCCCCCCTGGCGGATCCACTCTCCTCCTCATCCTCCGCCTTTTCCTCCGCCTCCTCCTCCTCCTCCTCATTCGCATCCTCCTCGTCATCGTCATCATCATCGTCATCGTCATCGTCATCGTCATCGTCATCGTCGTCGTCATCATCATCATCATCATCATCATCATCATCATCATCATCACCACCACCACCACCACCATCATCATCATCATCATCATCATCATCATCATCATGCTCATCATCATCATCATCATCATCAACATCATCATCAACATCAACATCATCATCATCATCACCATCATCATCATCAGCAGCAGCATCAGCGTCAGCATCATCAGCAGTATCATCAGCAGCAGCATTAGTGTCAGCATCATCATCACCAGCAGCATCAGCATCAGCCTCATCATCATAAACATCAGCATCAGCATACTCATCCCCTATCCTCATCCTCATCCTCCTCATCCTCATCCTCCTCATTCTCATTCTCAGCCTCCTCCCCATACTCATCATAACCATCATCATCAGCGCCATCAGCACCATCACCATCATCAGCAGCAGCATCGTCATTATGATCAGCGTCATCGTCATTAGCGTTAACAGCGTCATTCTCATCATCAACATCAGCATCAGCATCATCAGTATCAGCATCATCAACAGCGTCAGACCACCACCATCGGCAGCATCACCATCATCACCATCATCACTATCATCAGCATCATCATCAAAAACAGCAGAAGCATTATCATCATCGTCAAGACCACCACCACCACCAGCATTTCCATCAGCATAGTCATCATAATCATCATCAGCATCATCATCATCTTCATCATCATAATCTTCATCATCATCAGCAGCATCGTCATCCTCATCGTCATCGTCGTCATCATCAGCAGCAGCAAACGCATCATCATCATCATCAGCAAAATCGTCATTATCAGCATCATCAGTATCGTCATTATCACAATCAACACCAACATCATCATCAACAGCAGCATCGTCAACACCCGCATAACCACCATCAACATCACCATCGCCATCATCACCACCACCATCACCATCATCGCCATCGCCATCACCATCATCCGCATCATCATCAGCAGCGGCAGCATCGGCATCAGCATCGTTATCATGATCAACATCATCAGCAGCATCATCAGCATAATCAAC